CCGTCGTCACCACCCCCAGCTCCTTCAAGGTCAGTCCAGTCACTTCAAGGATGCCATCCATCCATCTTGCCCTTGGTCGGCCCCTCTTCCTTTTTCCTTCCACTTTCCCCAGCATAATTGTCTTCTCTAAGCTTTCCTGTCTCCTCATGATGTGGCCAAAGTACTTCAGCTTTGTCTCTAGTATCTTTCCCTCCAATGAGCAGTCGGGCTTTATTTCCTGGAGGATGGACTGGTTGGATCTTCTCGCAGTCCAAGGCACTCTCAGAACTTTCCTCCAACACCACAGTTCAAAAGCATCGATCTTCCTTCGCTCAGCCTTCCCTAAGGTCCAGCTCTCACATCCGTAGGTTACTACAGGGAATACCATGGCTTTGACTAGGCGGATCTTTGTTGCCAGTCTGTCTCTACTCTTCACTATTTTATCGAGACTGGACATTGCTCTCCTCCCAAGAAGTAAGCGTCTTCTGATTTCCTGGCCACAGTCTGGATCATAATCACATCTAACACTTCCTGAACCTTGGTCCAGTCCAGCTCTTCCTCTTCGCTGTCAAACTCCTCACAATCAGCAACATCTCTAAGGCGTTTAGAAACAGATCCCACATCACTATCCGAGCTGCTTGCTACTCGCTTTACACCGCGGTAATCCTCCAGCTCCATTTCCTCGGGAGTAAAACCCTCAAAATCCTCCTCATCCGTAGGCTCTAAGAACAAGTCTCTAATACGTTTCAGCTGTTGCTGAGCGTCTTCTTCTTCTAAACCACGTTTCCTTCTACTACTACTAGTAGGTACATGAGACAGACGCTGACTCACAACAACAGTGGAGTTTTTTATATAAATAAAAAAAAACTTTCATCACTACCTCTTCCTTTCAATGGTTGCTCCTTCCTTTAGGGAACCCACCCTTATTCTCAATAAAAACACTTAAAAAAAAGTAAATAGCTATTCCACCATAGCAAAAAGCATCGCTTTTAGAGCATTACAGCATATTGCTTCTCTTCCTCAGAATAGTACATTGCTTCTCTAAACTGTATTCCAAAATCCATACAGTTATACCCCACCGGGTGTGGCCCAAACATGCTAGTTGACCTACATTACCAGCTGCACGTAATAATTAACATCATTTTCTTTAACACACACTTGATCCTGCTACGACTTACTGTAACAAAGTGGTCCCTGGTCAAAAAAAGGTTGGGAACCCCCATCCCCTTCTACCCACTCCTCGTGTCCCTTCCCAGACCATTCCTTCACTCCTCCCGCTCTTCTATTTTTTCCCCTCTCTATTCTATTTGTATTTTCTCTTCATTCACCCATTCCCCCTTAACCTTCCCAATAATTCCGCACTACTTTCCCATAATATTTTTATGTATTCTTACTATGAAAACTTAATAAAATGATTATAAAACAAAGGTTGGGAACCACTGTGATAAAGAATATTGATCCATCCATGTCCATTGTGCATTATAGTGAGAAACATGAGCGGAGGGTGGATCTTTCTCACAAAGGATTTTGTAGAGTAGGCCAAAGTTTCCCAAACATTGCATGTTGGCCACACACTTTTTAGACATGCATCATTTCACGACACAGCTAGAATATGGCCATATAGCCCGAAAAAACCTACAACAACCCAGTGATTCCGGCCATGGAAGCCTTCGACAATACAGCAATTTGGTTTTACTAGCAAACCAAAGGTTAAATCAACCCATTATAACAGATACGGACACATACAGAAATTGTGATAATGAAATGTTTGGGGACACAACATATAGTATCTCAAGAAAACCTTTCATTTATATATTATTTCTTGCTTATTTTGCAAAGAGTCAGAGGTTTCTCACTTCCACTATCATTATGTGTCTGGTTTTTCCACACACTACTGTTTTATTTTGTTATTTGTGTAGTAGATGTTAACTGTCTGATAGACCTCTCTTTCTCCTGGGAAGCAAAAAGTTTGAAACTCCTGCTGCCTTTCATTTTTTGTAAATAGTAATAACCAGCAAATAGTAATAGCCAGTAATATCATGACTCGAACTCAAGTGAAATAAGTGAGGTTTTGAATAAGTTTGTCCTCAAGAGAGTTTTATATAGTTACAACTGTTATATCAAAAATATCTTTCTTCATTGACAGAAGTGAGCTGTCTTGGACTACAGACTTCTATATGTCAATTTTTGTCTTGTACACCAAAATATTTTTTGATCTTATAGTAATCTCTGAGCAAAATTGATGCTATGGGCCCAAGGATAGTTGGGACCGATTATGTGTAGAAGAAACTATGTTTTGGGGAAATTTGAAAGTATTTTGTCTTTGGGATTTATGATCTTCTTTGTTTGTTTCAGGTAATATTTGAACTAAGTCCTTTGCAAAGAGAATGGCAAAGGTAATACTCCAAATGCCATAGGTTATTGGGTGCTGTTTTTGAGTTTAAATTATTGTTTTATATGCTGTATAGTACTGTGTGTTTATTTTACGCAATATTTTAGGCACATTGTGTCATATGTAAGCCAACCCAAGTCCGAGCATTGCATAGCATTGAGCCATTGCAAATTAGAGGTCATGTCCCTCAAAGTAGCTTCAAAGTAGTTTCCCCTTTTGCTTTGGCTCAGCACTAAGATTACCACCATATTGTACGCCCTAATTTTAAAAAGTTAATTTATTAAAAAGTAAGTGAACATTGGATTTGAGTAAATACGGTAATTGTTTTTAAAACTATCTTTGAAAAACTTGGAAACTCCATTTCATCCAGACTCCAGATGCTATGTAGTTGACTGAGTCTAATCAAGGGGACTAAAACAAGCTTTGTTAGCTTCTACTCAATTAAAAAAAAAATAACAATTGCAAATTGTGACTTCAGACTTGTACATCTTTGCCTTGTCCCCACATTAAATTCGCCCAATACTAACATCCCCCGTTTTGTAGTTCTTGTCCCAAGCTGAATACTCCGCAGTTTCAACTTCAACTCTTGGTGGCACTCAATCCTTTTTGGTGATGAGGGAGGATGTGAGAAGTGGCCAGATTTACAGATTTATGGTGTGTATGTTGTACGGCCGTAAGAGGCACTGAACTATTTTTTTTAATCATCTCTCCAATTTGTAGGATGCTTCAGATCATTCAGAGCAGGTTGCAAGAAGAACACTCCCTTCAAGATATACTATTCAAAACTGCTTTTAAAAGTGCTTCCACGGCACTGCCACCAAGGTGAGAAGACATGTTCTATATGACCACTGTCGGAGCAGAAAAATATTTATCTCTGATGTTCTGATATGATGTCTGATGATGCGATATCATCCTGAGAATGCTTGTTTTTGAATTCAGTGCTTTGTTGTGCCTTATAGCTATTTCTGATTTGTTGCAAACCTATCACAAGGTTTTCTTGATTTGTCCAGTGCAGGGTTGGCTTTGCTTTCTTTTGTGGCTGAAAGAGTGTAACTTGCCCAAGATGATGCCCAGTAGGTTTCCATGACCAACTGGTGATTCGAACCCTTGTCTCCAGAGTCCAATGCTCAAACTACTACACCATACTGACTTTTAGATCGGTGCTATTGTAATCAAACGTCTGTTTACTTCTGGCCTGAGATTTAGGCTTTACTATAGTGTAAATTCTTGGGATAAGAGCAATGACCAATCTTGATAAAATAGTGAAGAGTAGAGACATCACACTGGCAATGAAGATCCGCAGTTGTAATCTCTGTAGTAACCTATGGATGTGAGAGCTAGACCATAGGGAAGGCTGAGCGAAGGAAGATAGATGCTTTTGAACTGTGGTGTTGGAGGAAAGTTCTGAGAGTGCCTTGGACCGCCAGAAGATCCAACCAGTCCATATTCCAGGAAATAAAGCCCGACTGCTTATTGGAGGGAAGGATATTAGAGGCAAAGAGGAAGTACTTTGGCCTCATCATGAGAAGACGGGAAATCTTGGAGAAGACAATGATGTTGGGGGAAATGGAAGGGAAAAGGAAGAGGGGCCGACCAAGGGCAAGATGGATGGATGGTATCCTTAAAGTGACTAGCTTGACTCTGAAGGAGCTGGGGGTGGTGACGGCCGACAGGGAGCTCTGGCGTGGACTGGTCCATGAGGCCACGAAGAGTCAGAAGCGACTGAACGAATAAACAACAACAAACAGTGTAAATTGGAATTGCGTGCTGGTGAACATAAAGGAAAGCTTCTCAAGGACATCTTTCCCCCCAAAAAATTGTTTCACTGTGTTCATGCTCTATGTACATTCAGACAGATGGCTATGAGAATTTGTGAGTGCCAGACTCTTCCTTTTGTGCAACAGAGGACTTACACATGGTTAACATACCTAGCAGTTCAAAAACATACAAATGTGAGTAGATCAATAGGTAAAGCTCTGGCGGGAAGGTAACGTCGCTCCATGCAGTCATGCTGGCCACATGACCTTGGAGGTGTCTATGGACAACGCCGGCTCTTTGGCTTAGAAATGGAGATGAGTACAACACCCCAGAGTCAGACATGACTGGACTTAATGTCAGGGGACAACCTTTACCTTAACCTTAAGGTTAACATAGACTCTTTCTATCCCTCATCTTTTATGCTCCATTGGCTTACAAATAAGATCCCTCAATATTGATTGGACTTAATTATGTTTTTGTAGAAAAAAAGAGGAGTATTTGTCTATTATATGTCCTAAGTTAGAAAGCTGTGCCTGTTGTCCAATTGTTCTTTGGTTAAGGTCCTTTAATTATGTCATTCTAAACTTTATTTGAAACACTTTAAAAAATCAGTAATTTATATTATTAGATGTGATTGCTTATGGTATGTGACATTCTGATAGCTGCGTCACTATATCAGAAGAAAGATGGGATAAAAATTAACTAACTTACAGCGTAAATTGCTATTTCTTTAAATTAAATTTCAATAGGGTTCCAACTTTTCCACATTGTAGTGTGTTTTACAAACTGTCAGGCTATACATGAGTCAATATGATTAAGGCATTTGCAAGCAAGTTGGTGCCTTAATTATGTTTATCTATCATCTATCTATCTATCTATCTATCTATCATCTATCTATATAGTGGTTCTTGGTCTTTATAGATTAGAATATATATTAAATGAATTCAGAGCTAGGAAGTGCTTTATACGCAGACATCTTTTCATCCTTAAGCTGGATGCACCACACATATTCTTAGAGGTGATTTGGTCCTTTTATGGTTGATTCCCCAAATGGATCAGATTGGTGGCATATTTTTTTTCTTCCTGAGGTTAAGCAAACAATTTATTTTATTCCCGTCCTCAGCTTAGGGCCATAAAATTCCTCTCTTGTGCCGAAAAACTAAATGTTTACCTTTTGCCAGTGTTTGTTCAGTGAGGCATATGGCTCTGGGTGACATAGTAAGTTGTTGATGTGTGAAGGATTTTTTTCAATCTCTGTCTCCTGTTTACTTTCTCCTGTTTCCTTTCTTCTAATAGGGAGGACAATACGTTGCAGCCTCCAGATGCTTGCAGAATCCATGGGCATCTGTATGTTAATAAAGTAGCAGGGAACTTTCACATAACTGTGGGCAAGTATGTTCATTTCATTTATTGAAACCACTATCAATCAATCTAACCTTCCCTTCCTCATGGTTTTGGGTTTCCCATTCTTGAGGATCAAAGGACAATCTTACGTTTATTTACTTAGAAATAACACCAATGTGTTCAGTGGAACTTACCACTTAGTAAGTACATTTGGGACATCTGCCCAAATTTCCTCAGATAAGTTTCAGTTATATGTTGAAGTCAGGTCTTGAAAAGAAAGTGATGTACCTTCACTGGGATCAGCATCAATGAATGCACATGTGTCTGTGTAGATGGACAGATTTGTATTTGCACACATTCCTATGTTTGTGTTGCTTTAACTGTGGCGACATACCTTCTATGTTACAATGGCAGTCTTGTGTTTTCTACTAACGATACAGAGATCGGTTTTGTTCTGTAGGTATTGTATGAAGTTGAACAACCTGCTAGTACACCTTTATTTGGGGGAAAACCAAAATATAAATAATATATTAATATTTAATAAATAATAAAATAAATAATATATTTATTATATTATAGAATAATTATAAATAATGATATAATAATAATATATTTATTCATCAACTATTTCCCCCATTATTTCTTTTTGTGTCTTCTGTTCTTTATATTCTTAAAATACTTCTAGCTTGGCCTATATCTGAAAATCCCAGAGGAGGGATACAATCAGTAAAATAATACTATGCAACACATTTTTGTTCCTGAGTTATAAATATCATTTCCTAATTGGTTCAATCATAAAAACATGGAAAAATTTATTAAAATGCAAAAAATTGTTTTTGCGGGACATCCTGCAGCACATTTGGCTATAGTTTTTCAGTGAATATTTCATAGAGTCTCAACCAATGTAACACTGGTTGTGGCAGCCGCAAAAATGGAAGTTTCTGGAGTATAGCAGCTACTTTCAAAGTATTTATTTATTTACAACATTTATATGCCGCCCTTCTCAACCCGAAGCGACTTACAAGTTATATGTAAATGCAATATGTAAGTACCACACAATTAAACAGCAAATAATAACACTTTCAAACCAGGAACAGAGAATTTTCAAATGTTATTATATAGTGTAATTTGAATATTCTGCCTTTTGAAATACTATACCTGTTTAAGTGTTTATCCCAAACTATTTTTTTTCAGATTTGCTTTCCTTTGGTTTACTTTTGTCAGTTTCCTTACAGTTTATTTCATAAATACTTACTGGGTTTTTTTTAATATTTACCATACCTTAAGAT